TGGTTCATCCCCACTTGGTGCATCGAACCAAGCCTGTCCAAGTAAGATCATGTCACGTTTGATATTCGTATTTTGATCAAATGAACGCACATCGTTAATTACCTTATACCAAATTAACCGATGTCCTTTAGCTTGATACGGACTCCATTGAACTTTATGTTCGGTACTAAATATTCTTAACCTTTCTCCTAACAACCCAATCTTCATCCCAAAACAAAAAGCATCTTCAAAACATATGTAATGCCTAAGAGGTAGACTATAAAGTAATTGAGTTACCTGATAACCCCATTGATAGTTATTGAGATATTTGTTTTGAATCCTTACACTTCGTATGCCTGCAGTCTTACTCTCAAGATACGCTCCTGAATCCTGCACATGGCAACAAAAACTATTCGTTTTCGTTTCCGAGTTAGGCGATCCATCAACATACTGAAACCACAACTTACCGGAAATCCAACCATTACACTAAGTAAGCTGATATTATTCGTTCCGTTCTTCAACTCCACTGTTTTCTCCAGTACAAAGTTGTGTTTCCCACCGTATGCATATCCTAGAGACCAAGTACTATGAAGCAACATGTAAAATTCAACATTTTTCATTGTTAAATGTCGGAATATTTGGCTATAAAGTTCACCTTTGTATTGTCCATTGACGAATGCATGTAAAACATGAGCATTGGAAAGCACAGAAAGTTCAGCTTGAGCATCGGAGTCATGATGAAAGCTGCGTATTTCAGAATCGAGCACGGTTCAAAACAAGGCCGACTCGGAAAAAAAGTCTGCGATATGCGCTTACCAGATGGTGTACCAAAGGTAATCCGATGTATCTTTCGTCGTACTCATCTGATCCAGCAAAACTTCAGCTCTCAACGACGTATTCGCAAACGTCGGAATAGGCTCCGTGTACTCTTCCCATCTCTCCATCGAATCGAATATGTGCTTCACTCTCCTTGATCTTGTATTGTTCTGTGAGCTCACCTGTTAATATAAGCAAGCTTTAGTATGGTTTCTTTCTCGAAAAGGAAGTGGATTTCGAGTCTTACTTTCGCGGTATTAAAGGCTACATTCTTGCAGTCCGGAAGAATGCTTATTGACATTAACGGCAACTCAAATGAAATGTTCTGGAAACGAATTCTAGCATTCAAGTTGTTGTCATTGTTCACCAAAAATGCAGCACATTCCCCTGATTTTCCTTTGAAAACATAAGCCTTCAACATAACAAATAAGATGAAACAAAGTTTCAATTCAATGCATATACATACACATAATCTATGTATAAATTACACAGATATATAATACCCTAAGAATTGTTCTTACTGTTTGAAGATAACCCAAAGAGGAAGTTTCATAAAGTCCAGAAAGTAGAGAAACTGTGCATAATCTTATTGCAGCATGCAATTCCTTAAGGTGACCCCATAGAGGCTGCCTAATTAACCCTGAAATATTCATTCGATTCGAATAAAGTTAAAATTATGTGACAAATACTTTACAGGTTTCGTCGCCCTGTAAATCTACTAATAGACCGTTAAACGAATAGACGAAAACACTCATGATTCATATAAATAATTAGAAGCGTACCATATTCATCAACAGGTGCTTGATCGTAGTAACTTGTAATTACACGTGCAGCGGCTGTTCTTCCAAAATTGGTTCCTCCATGATACTGTTTGACAAAAACATATATGTTAAAATTTAGTCTTCCATGAAAAAAATAGTTCAAAATGAGATGGTGCTTACCATATAGTAATTAACATAAGTTCCATTTTTGGCAATGAACAAGGCAACATGGAAAGCAATTTCTTCGGCAGATCTCATGAACGGCTCCTCACCATACCTTTGCACGCTTCATTCATTCATTCATTAGTCTTCTTTTAAGTATAAAAAAGATTAAGAAGTTTAATTCTTAATTAAGAAAAACAAAACGTACAAACTTGTCCAGTTTTCAGTCCACATTGATGGTTTATTCGGAGAGTTGGGTCCTTGGAATTTCACTCCACATTCAAATCCATTGCATGTGTTTATATGCAAATGCCAAATATTACCCCAAACACAAGGACCAAAAAAATCATTTATATGTAAAACGGTTGGTGTATTATTCTTAGTAAAGGTGAGATTTGGATTGCAAATACCAGAGGATCAGGGGCGTCTTGCTGGCTGCACATAATCCAAGGCACCCCTGTTTGAAGTCCTACAGCCAAGCCTGCAGCCCACCGAACATAGCTTGACCCTTTCCCATTGAAAGCTGCTTCTATCCTTTGATACTCATTCTCTATCTGATGTTTTATGTAATGAATCAGTTCCATGATAAAATGCAACAAAAACGAAAGATAAGGTAAAAAAAAAACCTGTGATAGTATAATTGGCCCTCCTTGCGAAGCATATAGTTTCTCTGATCTCATCATGTTTACTACTTTTGTCACCCACTTTTGCATATGAAACTGTTATTGATGACACAAACGGTCTATTAACGATCCAAATACGAAAAGTGGTGAATAAAAATAGTAACAATGCAAGGTGTTATGTAGGTTTAAACACCTTGAATGGTCCATTGTCGGATCGGAAAACAATCCCGGGAACGTCGTGCAGCCAAAATGGCAGTCCCCTGCATCACCAACAATCAGTTCATATGGTTACAAATACAATGGTGATGAAGAAGGGAATGGCAATTGTGTTTTACCCGTAAGTCCATTCGCTCTCATTGAATGGTCCAATTCTGAGGCAAACATACAAGCCCTGAGTTTCAACTTCTCTTGTGAACCTTACTATGTCACGTCTTCCGCTGAAATCATACTGCACAAATGTTGAATTTTAAAGCTTGAATTGAATCATCCCCTAATTTTAAGGGTCATTTTGATATTATCGACTTATAAAAATGGGTTTTAAGGCTCACCTGTCCTTGTTGGGGTTCGTGGAGGTTCCAAAACACAAGTCTGGATCACATCTACCCCTCCTTGTTTTGCTTTGGATATAAGCGATGGCCACAGCTGAAATTAATTTTAACACAACATCTATTCTTTGATTTAATTATTGTATTAACATTTATTTAAAACCAATTATTATTGGGCATTTTTTCATATACTTTCATTAATTCTTTCTCAGTAAAGAAATTAAAATCGTTATTATTTATTTTAAGATTGACAACATAGACAGACGATTTTATATTAGGATAGACGAATTTATAAAATTTTAAGTATAGATGAACTTATAAAATTTTAGGGGTGAAAATATATTTTCAATAGATAATATAAAAAAATATTTAAAACATATAAAAATTTAAAAAATTTAGAGGACTGACCGCCTCTACTCGCCCCTCTAAATCCATTATGATCGAGAGGGTTTATAATATCCAACTTGGATTATAACAACCAACAAGGAATGGGCGACAAAAAATAAAGTACATGCATGCATAGTGTGGATGAAGTTTGTTTGTAGACTTTGTCATATATATTAGAGATGAAGAGGCAAATAATATAATAATAAATAAAAGAAGGAACTTTACTTATTGTTTTAACTATTTATAACTTATTTGAGCATTAAAAAAGTATTTTTTAAACACAATGACCTATTTTCAATTAATTAATTTATATTGATAGTATAAATATTTATTATGATAGCGATTTTTTTCAAGTTTAAACCCAATTCATTTTACTCATAATATTACAGTAAAATAACTTTTTTTAATCTCATACCTTTACAAATTTTCTTTTATCAATTTAAACATTTGTACGACTCGTACTCCTTCCCACCGATGAATCAAAAGATATTGAACGTCTAAATATATCCAATCCCACGTTTTCATATGTATTGTATCAATGATAATATTAATCGAACTAGACTCAATTAATACGTATTTAAACTTAAACATAACTAAAATTATGTATGCATGTATGGATACATGCATCATGCATGTATTTACCTGAGGAGTGCTACGAGGATAGTGAATAGAGGCAGAGAAAAGAAGCAAATGATGGGCATCGATGATCAATGATCTTCCATCGTATGTTACATTTTGCCATAACCATGGCAGTTGCCTAAACCAGCAGCAGCCAATTCAACCAAAATCAACCCTAACATCTCTCTTTACAATCATATGTAAGTTTCTTGCACTTATCTTCCTTCCACCTTAACTTTATATATAGGATTCTATGGATAAAGAAATTTAATAATATTTAGTTATATATATATATATGGGGAAATTGAATTTGGATAAGAATATTTTTTTTCCTTACTCATTATTGCTATTTATTTAGTTTTAAATTCTTGAAAACTCTATTTTTTAGGGTAATGCAACCTCTAGTAGATTAGAGCACAAGTATTGAAAAATTAAATGTTGCATTTAAAAGTATTAAATTTGAATTATATGTATTGTTGGGTATTTTATTGAAAATGTATAATTTCAATATCTAATTATTATTAGACGTAGGACATGAAGGGTGAATAAATTTAGAAGGCACATGTCCATGAATCCTTTCCTCGGAGTTGGACATGATTGGCATAGACTGCTACACATGATTCTGATAGTAAAAAAGTAGGTTTGATGTGGTCTTTTCGATTGATGATTACATGTTGTAAATGATACGAAGCCTATGGATTTTATTTAAAATGATGATGAAAGGAATAAAAGCCACAGGCTTCTAATATCACAATGCATTAGGGCTCAAATCTCCAGTTTATGCATATTCATTTGAGTTGGCAATAAGTCCAAACAAATACAGACTGCCTAGGGTAAATTGTTAATTAAGTCGCTTAACTTTCTTCTTGCTCTTTTTCTATCATTAAATTATAAAAAAAACACTTCAAATAAAAAACAATTTAAATAATTAATTCCAGTTTAAAAATTTCAATTAAAAGGTAAGTTTTGATTATAATAATAATAATAAAAATCTTTTGAGATGTGCAATTCACTGAGGGGTCTTTGCTAACCAACCAGTAAAACAGTTAAGATAAAAATTTGGGTGTTAAATCAATATTTAATTTTTTAAGGTGTTATTTAGTTAAATTTGCCGCGAATTTTATCCAAAATTCCAAAAAAGTAGCGCGATGGCGAGTCTCTCCGTTGTCACCGGCTTCAGCTCAGTCCCTCTCCGTTCCCCGATCAGTCGGGCATCCTTCAGTCATCTCCACGTTACTACTCCGGCGGTCGGTGTATTCTCCGACCAACTATCTCACAGGAAAACGAGAGGGCTACGTCTCTATCCCCCGATCGCAAGTACATCCGTCAGGCATCTCCACATGCACACTCCGGCGGTTATTGCTTTCTACGACGACCTAACTAATCGGAAAAGGAGAGGATTACAAGTGGTGACACGTGCGGGTGCTAACGCCAACAGTTACGTGTTTGCGGCAGTGTTACCGCTCTCTCTCCTGGCCGTTACCATCTTCACTTCTATCAAGATTGCCGATAAGCTCGACAAAGACTTCCTTGAAGATGTAAGCATCTAAAAATCAATTTTCCCCTGGCTGTCATGTGGATTTTTATGGGGTTTTCGAATTATCCTACTTTGTTTTTGAATTGAATGCTTAGTTCTTTGGAAATTTTGAGTTTTTCTTAAAGCGGAAATATTATTTGGATTGCTTAAAATATGGATTCTTTTTATTCAATTTATTTGGTTGTGGAAAATTGAATTCTGAGGAGCATGTTACTGTGCTCACCAGGTACTTGATAAAAGTGCTCAATTAAAATCACATTCCTCTCGTAATTGGTGTGATACATATTATTATTATTAGCTCTATTCATAATAATATTCTTAAATCTTAATCTTACATTTCATGGTTTTGTGTTGCAGCTCGTTGTAAATCAGGCAGTAAGGGAAGCAGAGGAAGATGATGAGGGTGATAATAGTATTTCATTGGACGAAATAGTACAAGAACCTGTGCTTCCACGTACTCGAAATCGGCCCAAGAGGGAAGTCTAGGCATCCATTTTCTTAATTTGCTTCTTTATAATTTGTATCAATTGTATAATTCTTTATGTGAGCGGAGATAAACTCATGGAAAGAGCCATTGAACAATGTAAATTTTGCCTTTTGGAAAGAAAAAAAATACAAAGAAGGGTTTTCTTTAGCTGATTTTGTTTGGTCTTGGGAATTATGTGCCATAGCTTGTGAATGAACCATGATAGAAAACTGTTATCGTTTGGTGACAAAAGTTACAACTCCTTGAATAAATGGTTGTGAGTGAAAGAGAAGAATATTGCAGTATATGGTTTGATTATGCTTGATAAGTGATATACTCAATCTTTGAGTAAGGGATGAAGCTTTGGAGGTGGATGACACCGAAAGGATGAAGGGATTATGGTTGAATTTGTTGATCAAGTGGCGGAGGAACAGAACTGCCTCATCATGAGGATTCTAGCTTGGAAGTGCCATGGGCGTGGGGAATCCACAAACAGTTTGGGCTACGAACCGTCTTATTGAAAGGAGAGATCCTAATGCCGTTTTCTTGTGTGAAACGATTGGTTCTGAACGTGATAGAGTATGGACTATGGAGACAATGTGATATGATAAAATGTATGACAGTAGATTGTGACGATCAAAATGGAAGGTCTTGAGCCGAACTTGTTATCCTTCTCGTTTGATCATATAAATATGTAACTGATGTAGAATGGATTAGACACAAGGAGGATTTCAAGTTTTTGAGGTAATTGTGATAATAGGTATAGGCAAGCATCCTGGGCATTAGTTTGGTCACTAACAGATGAAAGTAATCTTGGATGGTTTGTGGTGATATTAATGAGATTTTCTCGGATGCCGAGAAACAAGAAGGAGAAGGGTGGGATATCGAACCTTAAGGAGACCTTAGATGAAAGCGGGCTCATGGATTTAGGGTCGGATACGGCTTGTTCACCTAGTCTACGTATAAGGGTGTGCTTGATGTGGTAAGGTAAAGACACTGATAAATTTGTGGCCAAAAAGGGGTAATGTTAATGGAAGTTTGAGTGTTTATGTACCACTTAGAAAATGTTTTCAACTTTTATCTTAATCATTTCGCATGATGTTTCTCATTCTGTTTTAGCATTAAACTTTGTATTACTTTGAACCAAATTACCAAAGTTGAACCAACAAAATGTGTCTATATCAATGTTGCCTTTATGATGATGATGACTATGAGTTTCCACAGCTGCCATGTTAATGTTGTCATGTAGATGCTTGCTAGTCTGGCATGTAACTTTTGGTATCTGAAAATGACTGATTTTTTGCCCTTTCTTGGCTTATCTTTTTAAATGTTCAGAAACAAATAAAGCATGCACGTGAAATGTTTTCTTATGGTGTACTGCTATTATATTGGATCTTTTACTAGATGGTGTTATCAAAGAAGGGGGGGTAATGTAGAGTTGAATTCAACTTTTCTTGCACATAAATCAGTTGTTTGCTGCAAACGTTGTGTTAGAGCATCGTGCTAATAACATGAATGTATTGTCCTTTTTGGGTGCCGTTACATTGAAGAGTGAAGAATCGGTAAGGTTTTGTCACTCGACTTTGGAAAAAGCCCGTAGGACGACTTAATGTCTGAACAGGAGAACCCGTGACCGTTGAAAAGCACTCTCTAACGGTTATGGTTTCACCTATTGAGACACTAAGAGCGTCCTTAAGCTCTTCAATGCCCATGGTTCGTCTGTTGTTAATCTACGACAACTCGTATTACAATTGAGCTTTTATTGGGTTATTATCACTAAGAGTGTTGAATTACAAACTAAAAAGATTCTCGAGGCTTTCTTTCTGTCGAAAACTTTCTAGGAAAATTACCAGAGGTGAGAAAGGGCAAGGTACAATTGGGTTGGGGGAAAACGTTAGTCATGATTAATGCCGGCAAAGAATTAGTGATGCTGAACAACACCATGTGAAACTATCTGAAAATAAGTGCAAAACACTGGTCTACAGTTTGGGGATTACCAAAGGTGTTTGTAAAAATTATAATTCACTTGTAATTCGGTATTATTATATTTATCTGTTTTATTAATCAATTAATCCAAATCGAGTACTATAGTGATCAATTAGGGAATCCTCCAAACCATTTTTTCCCATTATAATGTCAATGTTTTCTCATACCATTCAAGCTTGAGCATGGTCTTTGAACAAAGATTTAAGAGGCCTAGATAACCAATTTTTCATAGATAATATTAATCAACAAAAGAGAAACAATATTAAAGGCGTCATTTATATATATGGAATTTGGGTGAAATCATACATATGTGCATCATGATTCATTTCATAAGAACTCTGGCTAAAACTGTCCATGACTCCTCCACTCGCAACCGGGAACTCACCTAAACCCGCCATGCTAAACCGATCGGTTTCGGTATCACTGATACCTGCCGAATAGGTTGTGGCATACCGAGCCAGACGAGCTCTTGCAAGGGCCAAATCGTGTTGAAGCTCAATCCTCCTCCTCTGCAACAAAGCTATGGCACCGATGCAACCGTAGACAGGGTCTCGAAGCCTCACTTCGGCTTCGTACGCCAAGGAATTCACCGTGTCTTCTCGTTGCTCTTCGGGAACTTCGATGAGGATCTTGCTGACGTTGTGGCACCAAAAACTTTGTGGACTTTGGCGAATTTCTTGGGCTCATCGGATCGAAAGTAGGGTGCGAAAATACAGTTGGAACCGCATCTTCTTTTCAAGAGCTTGCAAGCTGCACAAGAGGAAGTGGAGCGTGGCTCGTGACTCCTCATGGCTTCATATCAAACACCTTCAAAGACCACATAACTCTTCCTTTAGCTACTCTTATCACTTCAATATCTTATCTCTTGTCCAACGCCCTTTTATATAGGAGCCATTTGTACAGTAATAGTAACCTATGCATAAAACTTGGACATTATTAGTTGGTTAGAGCGTCGTCATGTTCAAAACCTGCATGGCCCATAAACTTTGTTCTCTCTTATGAACCCACTACTAATAAACTTAAACTCGACTTGAGCCGAATAAATAATTTGATAGAATATAAACACATCAAAATAATTTTGATATATTCGATCTGACTCCTAAAATCTAAACTAAAATAATCCAAAAATCCGAATATGTTGTTTCTAAAATGTGAAAATATCTAGTGAAACATGAGCTTGAAAGAAAAGAAAATGCATGTGTTTTGTTTTTACATAAGGTGGAAGTGGGGGATAGAAATATTGTAGATGGGGGTCACCACTATAAGTATCTATCGGTGAGGTTTGGTTGAGATCAAATGGTAGTTCATATAATAATACTTTTAGTGTGATTTGAAAGAAAAGAACTTTCACAAGAAAAGCATTGAGCCCTGGATTGCTTGGTAGGCCTTCCTTATTCCCCATGATGGAAACCTAAACACTCAAAATACCATCAATCCAGTTGTTTAATTTTAAATTCACACAAGTATTTAAATCTAAAAATTAAGGGATAAGACTAATATCTAAAATGGCAGGGACTTAAAATAAAATTAGACCAAAGAAGTTAAAGGGGCTAAGGCATATGATAATGCTTCAATGAGCCCACTTTGTTTAATGCAAGTCCTTTTTCTCAAAATCTAAGCAAAAACAAATGAATAAAACCAAGGCTAAATGGGTGCTAGAGCCGTCCGATTGGGTGTAGGCCCATATATCGAACGGACGGTGATTGACACGAAAAAAAGGCTTGCGTTTCAAACGGCCTAATGGGCCGATACACAATAGTAGACACTCAAATACGTTTAAGATACACAATATATTTAAACTTATTAAGCAATCACAATAATAAAAACTTTTAATGAAATGACTATTAATTACACATTTAAGTCTTTTTTATCATGAAATGAGACGTTAAAACAAAATATTTTATAAAAAAGTAAAAGATAAAATAATTATCAAATTGTCTGAAGAGACGAGCCTACTAATAAAAACTGAAAACTTCATGCTTAATACAGAACATTTTATCAGACCATTCCAGCTAAGTTTCATATAATTCAAAAAAAAATTAATTTTGTGAATTTTTCGTAATTTTTTTCCTTTTAAATAGTCTATATAATTATAATATAGTATATATGCAGAAAAATTGTCATAATTTACCAAGTTTAAGAGATAAAATTTTAACTCAAAATCATAGTAATCAGTATTAAGAGCTAAATCAACAATTCGATAAATATACTTTATATTTCTCTTAAAAGAAAAAAAAATCCTTTTAAATATTACTTCATTATACTAAAGTGCGGTTTATTTTCCTATTATAAGATTTATTATGGTTTTTGGCATGACTGATTGTTCTCCATGTAAGGCTAAATAAAAGTCAACAAATTACATACCGAATGCCTTTCATTTCAAACCAATAGAAATGGTCAAAAGCGGAGTTTCGATTTATGAAATGGGTAAAGCATATTTTAATCCTTAAATTCGATAATTTTCCCAATTTGGTCACTGATCTTTTGTTCATATTACTCTCTAAACTTGATCTTTTAATCGTTTTGATGATGCGACATTTTGAGTATATATCATGTGGTACAGTATTAGAATAACATATTATCAAAATGAGTACAAATAATAAAAGTTAGGGATTGAATTGAAAATAATTATCAAATTCGATGAATAATTTTTTTTAAATACTTTTATCTGACCACGACCACGACCACGACCACGACCCGAGACGGACGGACGGCGGCGGCGACGCGCGAGAGTCCCCTTGTTCTCTATCGCTCAACAAGGAAGTGGGAAAGCCAAGCCTTAAATACCATTCCCAATAGTGTTTCCAATACTATGTGGGATTTGAGCATTACCAACACTTGTTCTCAATACTATGTGAGATTGAGCCTTAAATAGTGATATTATTTTTGAATGTTTTGCTTAAAATTGCAATAATCGCGATTGATTGTAGATTGACTTTTAATTATGACATATTTAATCGTATAATACTAATGCAATTGGTTGTTGATTCAGTTGTTTTAAGGTGCATGATTGTTAATTGTTTCCTGAATAATCACATTGTATTGGAAACAAGTGTTGGTAATGCTCAATCCCACATAGTATTGGAAACACTATTGAGAATGATATTTAAGACTTGGCTTTCCCACTTCCTTGTTGAGTGATAGAGAACAAGGGGGACTCTTGCTCGCCGCCGCCGCCGTCTATCTCGTCTCGGGTCGGGTCGGG